TTCTTTAAAATTCTTAGCCTTTTCTCTCGTATAATCTCCGAGTGAGTGTGTTCTCATAGAATTGTCTACAAACGCAGGCAGCAGTCGCTATTTTGTTCTAAATATAAGTCACCATTACTGTGTTAGGTGTAACCATTACTCGAGGAGTGAGGTCAGAAAGGCAGTAAGTACACTCAGGTTTCAGCCTGGAACTTATCCGTCTTTGGTCCTTTACCAAGGATTTTTCCAGTGCTGAAGCTTGACGGCACAAAAACAACAACAACTAATTTTTGGGAAGCCTTGCACTAGGCGAGGCTTATAATACTGTTTAAAAAATAGACCAACGTAATTAACTCTATTTTATCACCGTTTCGCCAGAAAAATGCGGTGAAGGAAGTCTTAGCAGGGACATTTTTTCTCAGACATGCTTGTAACTTTTTAAAGTCGGTCGTGTAATATATAACTAGGTAATTTTTAACCCTTGATTACTTAAATACTCAGCTTTTTTCGTATAAAGTTCTCTAGAGTGTTAACAACGTTTAGACTTCCATTTTCTTTTTCAGTCTGAGTTTAATTTTCTGTTATACTTTCTAGTATCACAACAGATGAAACTATCACCGTATAGTGTGTATTATGTATGTAGAGTACAAATGTGTTTATCTGTGATAGAAATAATGAAAGGCTAGTTTGGTCCCTAACCGAAAATAACTGAGTGTTTTATTTTTTCGTACACTTAAAAGAAAGTAAACCTTCACAGATGGTGACTTCAATTAGAAGCTGCTGGTGATGAGGAAGTAATGTTTGCATCTACAAGCTTGTATTTCATGATCAGGAAACAATAACCCAAAAGCAACATCTTTGCCTGGAAACATAAAAGAGGAAGACACAGGTCAAGTCCTGACTCACTTGCTCTTTTAGAAAGGAGCACAAAAACAAAACCCTTAATGAGTTCTTTTGTTTTCACTGTTGCTGTTTTGTCCCACATAACCCCACTTGCTGGAAATATTTCACACAATGGCATTCACAAGACAGTCCAAGAAGCCAGAAGCACGGTCAAGTTCAGGGAATCATGGGTAACATTATGACAAATGACTGTGTCAACATCCTTTAAATGGAGATAATGCCATCTCTCCACATCCTTTAAATGGAGATAATGCCATCTCTCAAACTCAGTTTGAAAAATCATCTTTAGTACTTTGTAAATTAGAGCAGGCAAACAGAGGGTGGTATTATCATTACTGTCATCATTATAACGAGAGATCCAATTGGAATAGAGTTATTTCTTCGGAATTACAGAAATAATATTTAACCAAAAGAAAAAGAGAGAGCTAATATATGCCAACAAAGAAAAACTTGGACTTTGTACTGCATCTCTGTGCAAGGCATCCCTTAAATTTTTCACTGAAATTTAAATAGGAAGGGGATCACTAGTGGCTCAGTGGCAAGAAGCTGTGCTGCAATACTGAAGGCACATGGTTTGAATCCACCAGCTGCTCTGCAGAAGGATGGGCAATCTCCTCTCATATGATTAGCTGCCACTGAAACCCCGCTGGAGAGTCAGCTATGGGTAAATTCTGAACTCAATGATTTACAACAACAGAACATAGAGCCCCGGTGGTTTACTGGGTAAGCACTGAGTTACTTCCTGGAAGGTCATCAGTTTGAACTACTCCATGGGAGAAAGACACGGCAGTCGGCTTCTGGAGTTCTCCAGCCTTGGAAAACCTGTAGGGGAGTTTTGCCCTGTCTTCAAGGGTTACTATGAGCCAAGCTTATTTTGACAGTAAGGGGGGGGTGGGTGTTAGAGCACAATGGTAAGTGCTAGAAAACTTTGCTTTGTTTTGTTGTTAAAACACAATTTTTTAGAAAAGGATCCAAAGTTTTCCATGAGCACAGATTCTCAAACACTTCGTTCTTCACAGAGAGGTGGTGTTGAGAGAAGACAGTACCTACAAATACAAACCAGATCCCTGGCACTGAAAGCATTCAGAGTTCCACTAATTTGTATTTATTTATATTCTTAGATTCAATAAAATATGTACTGGGTATATTAACATTTAAACATCACAGAGAAATTTCAAGAATGAAACTTGATAATTCATTTAATTGAAAACCTTGAGAACCATGGTGGGAATGTAATCTCAATAATAACTGGCTATTATTATTTTTAAAAAATATTCCCACCTTCTGATATTATCTACAAATCATATAACTAGTTGTTATGATGTGCTATCAACTTGGGAGAACAGAAGCTATAAATCATACAGGTAAAGAATGCCCACCTTTCTCCCATGGAACAGCTGGTGGATTTGAACCACATGCCTTTGAACTGGCAGCACAGTTCCTTACCCCTTGGCCAGCAAAGTTCCCCTATAGAACCTGTTGTTCTTAGGTACCTTCAAGTCAAGTACAACTCATAGTGACCCTATGAACAACAGATCTGAATCCTGTCCCACCCTGTGCCGTCCTCATTATCTCTGATACACTTGAGCCCACTGCTGCAGTCGCCATGCCAATCCATCTTATTCAACGTCTTCTCCCCTTTCGCCAACCGTCTACCTTTCCAAGCCATATAATTGTGGTAGTAAATGTTAATTTTTTTAATTACAAATACATTGGGGGATTCTGAAAGCTCATCTTTGAATTGGCACAGCATTTTTTCAAATGACTTCATTTAAAAAGTTTAAATGAAGTTGGCACCTTTAAAAATTCTTTTCATCATCTCTATGCAATATAATAACGAGTATGTAGAGCCATTCAATTTTACGTGATGCTGAGAGATAAGAGACTGACAGTGCTGGACCATGGTGACCTAAAAAACCGGCAATTTAATATAGCTCAACCTTATAGATGGCCTCATAAACTGAACCACGCTTTCTTAAATGCTGGCCAAGCCAGATGAAGCCTGAGTTTGGTGTCTTTTTCAAGTTGCAATCTGACGCTTTTTAGCACAAATCTTGCTCTAGGAAGCTAGGTGCCCTAAAGCCAAGATGAGCCGGAATCCAGCTTCCTGACAAGAGCTAATCCCAACAACTATCCTCTGGATCGCATGCACTCTACCTTCAAATATACACTCTGAAGAAAGGATAAACCAAAAGTATTCCCCATACGCTGCCAAAAACATAACAACACCATCAGTGTTATGACCAAGTAATATTTTCTTACCTGTTTTCAATCTATATCTCACATATACTCTCAACTTCTTTAATATATGCTTTAGAAGAAGAATTGATTTTTTTGGCTTGGCTCTACAGTCAGCACTCTTGGTACCAGCAGCCAGGAAATGTAAAAGACGAATTGCATTGGAGAAGTCTGCTGTCAAAGACCTCTCCAAAGTACTGAAGAGCAACGATGTCAGTCTGGAGACTAAGGTGCGTCTGATACAGGCCATGGTTTTTGCTATCACTTGTTATGCATCAGAGAGCTGGACAATGACTAGGGATGACAGAAGGAGACATGATGCCTTTGAGCTTTGGTGCTGGAGAAGAGTACTGAATATACCATGGACTGCTAGGAGAACAGATTCATCCTGAAGAGGGTGAAGCCAGGCTGCTCCTTGGAGGCAAGGATTCTGAAGCTCCATCTGACATACTTTTGACATGTTGTAAGGCGTGACGTCATGAGTAGGAGGACAGAGGGACAGCACAGGATAGAAGACCCTTGATGAGATGGATTGATTCAGTGACTGGGGTAATGGGGGTGGGTGTATCAGAGACAATAAGATTGGCACAGGACAGAGCAGGGTTTAGGGTTGTTGTACAGGGGGTTGCTATGAGTTGCAGGCAACTCGATGGCACATAACAACAACAACAACAACAACAACAACTCTTTACTTCATTGCTCCTCTCTCATTAATTATTTCACTTCCAAGTCTACTGCAGGCTAACGTTCAATCGTATTCCCCTTTGCATTTACTCAGGTCATGTTATCCTTACATCCCAAACCACATAATCCTCACTTTTTGTTTGTTCCATAACTGCTTTGATCTATTAAATTTGATGGTGTTTTTCACCCTTTCCTTCAGCATCCCTGGTGATTAACACCAACATCCTCTGTTCTTGGCCATGTCTCCTTAATCTGCTCCATTTCTTCGGCTGCTGGTCTGCAGACTGGTGTGAGCCAATGTTCCATAGTAGCCCCGGTCTCTCCTTTTGGTACTCACACTCCTAAGGCCTGGAGCCCACTGCCATGGCTTTAATTATCACCTAGTGACTAATAATGTCCAGAGACAGACCGTCTGCTCAGCTATCTCTTCTGATCTTCAGATCAATAGCTGGCTAGTGGTCATCTCTGCTTGAATGGTTTTAACATCTCAGAAATTCGGCTTATCTAGAACTCAACTCAGTATTCACCGCAGGCACCGAAACCCCTCCCCGATTCCACAATGTCCAGCTTCTAGATGTTGTAGTCCTCAACTTGACGGTTTGAATTTACAGCCCCTCCTGCCATTTTTCTGCCATTCCCAGTACTCACCACATTCATTGTACTTCCCTGTCTAAGTTATCTGTCTCAATAATGAAATGATGTGGTAGGTTATAAAATGGATGGATGGATGGATGGATGGACGGACAGATGATGGATGGGTGGATGGATGATGGATGGATGGATGGATGAATGGGTGGATGGATGGATGGATAGATGGATAGATGGATGGATGGATGGATGAACAAATGGACAGGTGGGTGGATGGCCGGGTGGATGGATGATAGATGGATGGATGGATGGATGATGGCCGGGTGGATGGATGATGGATGGGTGGGTGGATGGATGACAGATGGATGGATGGATGGATGGATGGATGGATGAACAAATGGACAGGTGGGTGGATGGCCGGGTGGATGGATGATGGATGGGTGGGTGGATGGATGGATGGATGGATGGATGGATGGATGAATGGATGGATAGATGGGTGAATAAGTGAGTAATTAGATGAGTAAATGCATCTAAAACCATGCAGAGTGATTTATCCCAACTCCCTTCACTACAAAGCTGGACATTAACAGGGTGGGGACTGTCCTTACCACAAATGCCTGACTGGCAGAGGTGTGTGTTTCAGGGCCACAAGGGCGCCACCCCAGTCGAGGAACCAGACATTGTACTCTTCGTCAAAGATCTGGAACAACAACAACAATAACCATCATAGCAACACCTTCCATTTCCATAGTGCTCAACAGTATAAATAAGTCTTTCACACACATTATTTCAACTCAATTCAGAGCTTATCACAACCTTCATGGGAGTCTGTAAGCATCATTATCCCTGTTTGATAAATGAGGGGGATGAATTTGCAGAGAATTAATAACCTTCCTGGGCCCTTACATTTTCTTTCCAGGATTTAATCTCCCAGCAGTGTCAGTCAGTGTACCAGGGAAGGTGCCTGGGTCAGCCCGATGACCCACGAGGAACTGTAATTGGTTCAAAAACGTCCCTGTCCTTCTATTAAGTTACTACTTAGCCCTCTCTTCCTTATGATCCAGGTATTTCTTAAATTATAAATATTATGGAGCCAATGACTTCAGTTCTTCGACCACCACGTCTGTTGCTGGATAAAGACCTAAATATGATTCCTGAGAATCTTTTCTTTAATTGCCCACTGGAGCATGAGCCTTCCAGAAGCACCAGGTAAATTATTTGATTCTTCCATCTGTCAATTACCTGACTATCTATCACTTAATTGGTCATCTACATACCCAAGGGAATTTTCCAAGCACCTGCTGTAATGTAATGTTCTGAGCTAAAAACCCCAAAACTTAATTTCATATATATCAATAATTCAGTTGGATATAATGTTCATATTTCCAACCTAAATCAGAAAAAAAATTCTCCTTCAGAAAATAACCAACTCTAAATTTTTAGATCTTCTGGAGGAAACTGGGTTTGGAACATTCATCTAATTTTAACCACTAATGATGCCTACTGAGACCTGGAAGGAGAGGGAGAGTTGGACGATGGATTCAATAATAAAGGCTAAAAGGGATAAGAAGGTGTGGCCAGACTTGAAGCAGGGGTGGGGAGAAGAGCGGGCTCTCTTGTTCGTATTCCTCAGGAAACACAGTAGAGCTTTCGAAAGAGTTTTTTAACCCTAACTCAATGGGTTTTCTTTTTCACTGTCATTTTTTAAGTAAAGAAAAATGTCCATACAAATGTTCTTCCAAAAAAGATCCAGAGGTAACTCATTTCTACTTCAGATAAAAACACAGAATCTGAGTCTGCAGTTCTAATTCCGCACCCCTCCCCATCCCCCAGAGACCAAGAATGGAGCTCTGGTGTCTTAGTGACAAGAAGCTATGCTGCAATCCCGAAGGCACAGAGTTCGAGGCCGCCAGCTGCTCTGTGGGAGCAGGACGGGCAATCTCTGTGCAATTAACTGCCTCTGAAAACCCACTGGAGAGTCAGCTGTGGGTCGGTTCCGACTCAATGGTTCTCAGTAACAAGAGAACAAGACAAGCCTCTGGGATAAGCTGCTGGGCTGAAGCCTGATGAGGACCACAGGGAACCCCTTGGTACTTGGGAAGAGAGGGGCATTTTTATCCTCCCTTTTTCCCTCTGGAGGCTACTCTTCTGCCCACTCTGCTAAGTCATGCCCAGTCCAATGTTGGAGTGAAAAAGAGAACATTTAGCTGTTTGGGGAAAGGAGAAAGCAACTGTGACCCAAAGCACCACAAAGAAAGGGACATTGTAGCAGCCGCTGGATTGGAATTAGTTTCTTATTTGGTAGAATGACTATTTGTCCATTGGGAACTTGCATTTCTTAGACTTGATGGATCAGAAGAGTTTACATTCTAATATCTTATCCTTATCTGGCACCTGTAATAAGATATGTTTCAAACAAGTTCTGAATCATGGCTCTGTTCTCCACTCCCCTGATTAGGGCCCTCTTTGGTCTGCCCTGTAATACTTGTGGTAAGTGTATCTGGAGGGTAGTCCTGTTAGACTTTGCACAGTGGTAGTGGTGAGAGTTGTGGGGATGGTGGTGACGATGTCAGTTATGGTGATGTGGGTTGTGTTTTTTTTTTTGTTTTTTGTTTTTTGTTTTATTTTAGTATTTGTGTGTACCATCAAATCAGATCTGACTGGTACAGGAGGAGATTGTCCCTCCTTCCCTGGCAGAGCATCTGGTGGATTTCAACCGTGCGCCTCTGGGATTGTAGTGCAGCTTCTTGCCACTAAGCCACCAGAGCTCCCTGGTTATGGTGATGTTAATCTTCACTGAGGGATCCAAAGAGTGATTTGTCTAATTAGATCTCAGATGGTGACTTCACCTTCATTACGAAGAGAGTCTGTGGTCTTCTTTCACTTCCCCTGGAAACTTTCTCACCACTCACACCTAGTAAAATGTTACCCCCTCTTGTGACGTCGTTCCCAGTTTTCCTGTAGGATCACTGATTTCTTTTTCTGGGCATTCTGACAGCGCTAAAGTGATACAGACCCAGGGCTGGCCTGTCAAGACCAGCATGACAACCCTCAGATTCCAAGGCCGTCAATCTCAATGGGGGCGACGACTGTCTTTTTCCCTCACAAACCATCTAGATTCAAACTGCCAACGTGTTGATCAGTAGTTGGATACACTATGCACTATTCCATAAAGGCTCCTTAAAAAAAATGAATCATTTTCTTTTTCTTTTCAAGGAGAAGAGTGAATTGGGGGGGAGGAAGGGAAAAAATTGTAACAATGAATGGCTGGAAACCCTAAGTCTCTGTAAACTTTTATTAAAAAAAAATTAAAAATTACTACTTTCATCTCGAAATATAGACGGTTTTTTATGAACCTGTTTCCTTTACTTAACCTTTGAGTTTCAAGAGGTTATAAACTCTAAAGTGATCACCTGCCTTCCACATCGATGCCCGATGCCTGGCCGACTGCCATTCCAGAGTTCTGTGCTGTCGAATAGAATGGACACATGACTATGTGCATCTAAAATAATTTAAAGGAAGAAAGTGACCCATTCTATTTCTTAAGTTATATTAGCCACATTTCAAGTTCCAAACAGTTACGTGGCACAGTGCAGACAGTGAATGATTTCCTATTACGGCAGGTTCTACTGGACAGCATTATTAGAGATGTTTATAAAGTGGAATTAATTCTTCAGGTAGCCTCATATGTATTAAGATCTTTCCTACTCAATTAAGGCGAGGCCTATACAATTCTTAAACAACCACAAACTTCCATCGCTCTGTCAGTTTTAATATTCTAACTCCTTCATCTTAAGGATAAAGAATGAAAGCCGGAGAGGTCAAGAGAGTTGCTTGCCAATATTTTATGGAACATTAATAACAGAAACAGTTGCACTGACTGTGTCCTGAGTAACCTGGATAGTACTGAGCCCATGGTGACTGTTCTATACGTATAGTTGAATGAAGTAATGCACACATTAAGGACAATCTCTAGCCTCCAATTTTCCACCCAGTGTTCCTCCCATCTTACCCTGTGGTCTCTATAATCGTCCAGCTGAGTGGACTCAACTAAGCAATTCTTTTCTTTCCATTTTCTGCACAGTGTGTTTGAAAATCCCCCAAAAGGTGATGTTGGTAGAAGCTGCCCGAAATGCCCATTCCCCAGCCCTAAGGCATCCCAGTTACCTGTCTCCACGTGTTTCCCCCGTCAGAGGAGATGAACACACCAATATCAGTGTATGAGAGTTCCGAGCCAATGTTGCCTGAAATACAAGCAGATCATTGCAAAGTGTCAGGAAGCATACAGATTCGATGCCTGCAGCTGGGGGTGGGTGGGCCGCAGAGAGCAAAGGTTTGACAACTGGTGTTTACAGTTGATACGTGCAGCCTCTGCCTTGGAATCATATCAAAAACCCAGCAGGAAGAAAAGCCTAACACTGTAAAAGAAAAAAGTAAATAGTATGACAGGAATATGCTGTGGCTCTAAATGACAGGACTAAAAAGGGGGGAACCCCTACATACGGATTGGCTTGTATCTCCTGAGCTGCTCATTCTGCATCAATAATTTCTACAGTTGTTTATGACAGATACAGCCCCAACGATGTAAGGCTAGACATAAGAACATGGAAAAGAGAGATGTGGGCTCAGGGAAATCATCTCCCTAATGTAGAATTTATTCTAAGATAAATGATGCGCGTGTGTGTGTCCGTCCCACCTAAAGGTGAGAGCTCAGAGGTGGTTATTATGGACTAAATGGCTTACCCGCAAAAGATAAGTGGGGGGAAAAATTTAAAAAAAAAAAAAGATAAGTGGAAGTCCTCATCCCCACTACTTGCTAGTATGCCCTTACCTGGAAATGGGAGTATTTGCAGATGCAATGAACGACATTACCATGAGGTTCTGTCAGAGGAGGGTGGGTAGGTGCTCTAACACGAGGAGACAAAGAAACACAGACAGAAGCAGAGGGAAGACAGCCAAGCAAAGGAGGAGTTAGAGACTGACATCCAGCTGCCAAGCCCGAGTGCTAAGGCTGTGAGAAAGGACAAGGGACGAGGGAGGGTCCTCTTCTAGAGCCTTCAGAGAAACAGAGTCCCTGTTAATATGCTAAGGTAACTCTGGTGGCCTTGTGGGGAAAGAGCTGTGCTGCAAAGCAAAGGGCAAGTGGTTCGAATCCCTAAACCAGCCCATCCTCAGGAGAAAGATGGGTAGTCTTGTCTTGGGAAATTTACAGCCTCTGAAAACCTGCTGAAGGGTCGGCCCTGTTCTGACCCAATAGCAATGGAGAGAGGAAGTCAGCACTTGAAATTCAGACTTCACATCTCCAAAAATCTGAGAAAATTTACTTGTGTGGTTTGAGTCACCTGGTTTGTAGCATTTTTCTATGGAATCCCTAGAACAAGAACACAGTGACGGGAGGGTACAGACTGGGTAACTTAAATTACAGAGAGAGCCAAGATGAAGCTAATCACATCAAGGATGTCATGGCCAAGGTCATGAAGCATGGAAGAAGTAGTCACATTAGCCATACTTAGAGTGACCACATGTATCAGCTGCAGCATCCTGTTCATGCCCTAATACCCTTTTCTTTCTCTCTCCTTAAATTTCATCAAGTTAATGGAGGGAGGGGAGAAATATTTTTCAGTCCATGACTGTTTCTCTAGCTCAATAGACATGGCACGTCCCACAACCTAAACCAACACCGAGTAGTTTCTCAATGAGTAATTATGAAATGAATAAATGAATAAGCAAATGACGAGTCATGCCCCTGGCAGATGTGTGCTTGGGGAGGTTCTGAGAACCAGGGAGGTAGCCTACAGGTGTACAAGTTTATCCTGTTGGCTGATAGTTTTTCTTTAAAAAATAGCAGGAAGGGAATGTTATCTCCCACACATCTGAAGCCCAAATAAAAGCACAATAAAAATGCAATAATGAAAATGTTAATTGAGCTTCTGACATTTAATGCTTCAACATGAGAAATTAAATCCAGGCTACAGCTTGTCAAGATCCTGTCAGCATCAGGGAGCACACTGCTAGCCAACTTGTTTTGACACTTGGGTTTCCAAAAATAACCCCGGGGCTCGGGACTCAGGCAATGGGTGCGACCGGAGTAGAGCGAAGCGGGGTGAGCAACTCGGCAGAGGGCTGCCTGGAATGCAGAATTCAACCCTCCAGGGACGAGGTTTGGAGGACAGGAATGAAGGATGCAAAGGGGGATGGGGCAGAGGAGGCCAGGTCTAGTCATTTGGTGGCTGCTCCCTGGCGTTGGGCTAAGGAGTGTTCAGAGGCCATACTTGTATTCACTAGACAAGTGCAGTGATAGATTAGCAATGTCTGTCAAGGATGGTGGAGAAAGGGAAGGTGGAAGCACTGCCCTCAGAACTCTGATTGTGCCATCTCCAGCACAGTTTCTTAAGACCCCTGTCATCACTTCTTACCTTCTTCAGGAGCTTTCTATACCAACATCCTAACCCTCTTATTCCACGTTCAACTGGAGAGACAGTGGAGGCTCCATTATAATAATCCAACGGGCATGATGAAGTCTGTACTTCTTTTTTTTTAATACTAGTTTACTTGTTGTTATGTGTTGTCATGTTGCTTGAGACTCATAATGACCCTATGTACAAGAGCCCTAAACCCTGCTCTGTCCTGTGCCAACCTCACCATCTCAAACACACTCACTCCCACCACCCCCAATCACAGGACTGATCCATCTCATCGAAGGTTTTCCTCTCCTGCACTGTCCCTCCACTCTCCCAAACATGACGTCCCTCTCCAAGGACCAGTCCCTCTTTGCAACATGCCCAAAGTATGTCAGTCGAAGCTTCAGAATCCTTGACTCCAAGGAGCAATCCAGCTTCACCCTTCTCCAGGAAAAACCTGTTTGTTCTCCTAGCAGTCCATGGTATATTCAATACTCTTCTCCAGCACCACAGCTCAAAGGTATCCATTCTCTTTCTATCATGCCTAGTCACTGTCCAACTCTCCGATGCATAGCACGTAACTGTGAAGACTATAGCCTGGATCAGGTGCACCTTAGTCTCCAGCCTGATGTTGTTGCTCTTCAATATCCTGGAGAGGTCCCTGACAGCTGAAATTCCCAATGAAATTTGTCTCTTGATTTCCTGGCTGCTGGTACCAAGAGTGTTGACTGTGGAGCCAAGTAAACTAAAACCATTAACTATCTCAATCTCTTCACCATCCATACTGATGTTGCCAATTGGCCCAGTGGTGAGAATCTTTGTTTTCTTGATGTTGTGCTTCAATGCATATTGAAGGCTGCAGTCCTTGACCTTCTGCAACAAGTGCTTCAGGACCTCCTGTTTCAGCAGAAAATTCCAATATATTATTTTTCACACCAGATTCTTCCCATTTTCCTCATTCCCACTCCATCAAACTGTATGACCCCATGAAATTTTAAGTCTCTGATGGCCTTATAGCCCATCTCTGGTAGGAAGGGCTTGGTGAAGATGTCTGCCTGTTGGTTAACTTACAAAGACTAGTTACTTACTTTCCAGCCAGAAGCAACTCATAGTTGACTCTTCAATGGGTTTTTAGAGCAGTAAATCACTTGGGAGAAGACTTCCCATCTTTCTCCTGCAGAGCAGCTGGTGGATTTCAACCACAAACCTTTGGGTTGGCAGCACGACTCCCTAGCACCAAGCCACCACGGTGCCCTTGCAAAGCTTTGTTGTTGTGTGCTATCTAGTTGCTAATGACCCAGAGCTGACTCTCCAGCTGGCTTCGAGGGGCAGTAAATCACATGGAAGGAGAGGGCCCATCCGTGTTCCATGGAGCAGCTGGTGGATTTGAAACTCGTGCCTTTGGGATTGCATCGCAGGCTTTGAGGCTGTTAGGAATGACAGATGCCACAAATGCTCTTAGCATCTGATCTCGATTTCTGAATTTTACAATTATCTCCACAGAGTATAAAACAATCTTGTTTTACAGATGAGAAAGGTTAAACTGAGAAGTTAAAAAGGCTGGATTCGCAAGAGTCAGAGCTCAGACTTGATGGCAGTGTTCTTGGGTTTCTCTCGGGGAGTATGTAGTAAAACACAGTTCATGAATTCCAATGAGAAAGAGGGTTTATGAGTTCCTTTGAAAAAGTTGGTTTTGTTGCTAGAAGCTGGGAAGTCAAGTATGACTCAAAGTGACCCTTCGAACAACAGGTCTCCACGTCATCTAACCTGTGCCATGCACATCATTTCTGCCACA